TTGAACACTGGTTTCTCACAAGCAAGTTGAATGGCCTAACAACTACACTTCAGGGTCTGTCACTCTCTTTCTCTGGCTGGAAATTGTATCCTGGACACAGCTGATTGATAGATGGGGAAATTTTCTCTCTTTAACAGCTTGTTTTCACTGAAAAAATTAGGCAGGAAAATTTCTAGTCACATGTAGAATGTCTTCTCTCTGTATTCTGATTTTTTTGCTGCTATTAGTGAATAAAAGTCAGCACGTACTAAGTGGAAGCTGTGAGGGAACCTAAATATGCTTTCTTGTCATTCTCATTTGGAATCAAGAGACTGGAACTCAGTTTGCAGAATCAGGGAGACCTATAGATTAGGAAGTGAAGTATGAAACTACCAAGAAGCATCTCTGGTATTTTTTTTCTATAATCTGGGTAGATCCCGCAAAGAAGCATTGCAGACATCTCAAGTGTTCCGTCACTTCCATCTGAGAGGAAAAAGTCAAATTCAGCAAAGCCATTTGTTCCTTGATGAGGTTGAGCAATGCTCTTGAAAGCTGGGAAGCAGGTGCTGGGTACAGACCTCTGTGGAGACTGACTGCTCCTTCCCTTTTCCCTCTGCAGGCCACCGTGTGTGTCTGGGAGAGGTGCTGGCAAAGATGGAGCTTTTCATCATCTTTTGCAGCCTGTTGCAGACGTTCAAGTTCACCCTACCAGAAGGAGTTAAGGACGTCAACACAAGTGTTGTCTTTGGGAGCACAATGAAACCCCATCCGTACAAGCTCTGTGCGGTTCTTCGCTAGGTTGCAGGGTAATACAGATTTGAGAAAGAGGCATTGCCACGGGTTTGGTAGCGTGCTGATCTTTTGAGCAGCTCTTGTGTTTTTCATTTCTAGCTGAAATTCAGTGTGAATCTATCCTTGTTGTGTTAGATGTCTAAGAAGCCAGCCCTGAAAAATACTCCAGTTTTCCTGTGTCTGGAAAATCTCTGTACATTTTCTTTTTTTTTTTTTTTTCTTCTGTATTACAAATGAAATAAACATAGAAAATTATTATTGTGTCTGGTCTTACTAGAGACTCAACAGGAATCTTACTGGAGGGAGAAGGAACATTAAAGCCAGGTACTGGGGGGGCCTTCCCCTCATTCCCATGCATTCTCAGATCTAGAGCGGGGTGTAGGAATGCTCCTCCCGGAGGTGGTGGCCCTGGGCATTGCCAGGGCCCCTGGGGATGGTTGCATGGGGGACCTGTTGTGGGGGGACACCTCAGCCAGGTGTGACCCAGCTGGTTTGTCTGTTTAGCCAAGAGCCGTGTGGACATGACAGCGTGAGGCTGGTGATTCAGGCTGACAGTGAAGGCAAACCCTTCATATTCCCTGCTGAAGAGTTGCAGAGCATTTCACCTCTGCTGGTGAAGCAAAGTGGGTGTAAATGGTAACAGACCAATAGGTTGGCCTGAAAATGTGGTTGGTGTGAGGTTTTTTAGTTTTGTTTTCTGTTTTGATTTTATTTATTTGTTTGTTGTTCTTTTTGCATGTATTGTTATGGTGCATTTAAGAGACACTTCTATGAGAGAGGGGGTCCTCTCACACAGTGGAGTTTGCAGTGATAATGGTGTACAGTAGTCCAGGTCATCCACGTCTCTCTATTGATGCCTGAAAGCTCAGTTTAGGGGACTGCTTGCGCTCTTGGGAAGCAAAGCTTGGCCCTTGCAGAGGGGTCACAGGGCAGGAGAAACTGATGCAGTGGTTTCAGTGAGCACGGGGGCAGTTTCACGCAGCCTTCCAGCCTCCGAGCCAAGGGAGGCTTCGCAGAGCTGCCGAGCTCAGGGAGCTCACTGCAGCAAGGTGTGTGTGTCGGGGGGAAGAGATGTGTGAGGAGCACCTGGCAGAAGCAGGAGCAGTGCCCAGGCAGGGCTGGTGACAAGCAGGTGCCAGAAACCACTCAGCACCGGGAGGCTGGCTTTGTTACCCAGCAAGATTTAAAAATTGAGGTCAGAGTGAAGGCTACTGGTGGATGTAGCAAATGCTCTGTTGCTCTTCCAGTTTCCTTCCTTGAGGAAAAGACAATTGTTATTGCAATTACTGCTACTGCAATTGTACTTCAAGGGTTAGTTTTCATTGCCTCGTTAATCCACCATGTTAGAGTTTTCTTTCTATAATGTGATGCTGTGGGTTAAATAAAAATATTTGTCTTTGTGAAGGAGCTCAGTATCATAAGGACAGTTCATGGGGTTGATCTGAAGAACTGGGACCAAGATGAGGTGAGTGATCAGTGTTGCGAGGTGCAATCACCAGAACATGGCTAAGATGTGTGGAGAAGTCAGAGTGAGCCTGGCAAGCCAGGGGAGATGCAGAACCGCCAGCCAGGATTGCTCAGAAGGGATGGAGCAACCAGATGAGGTTACAAGTGAGCAAGTCAGGAGAGCTTTGGGGGCTGTGAAGACATTCACATCCCTTCTCCCAGCAATACATATGGAGTCTGTTACTTTTTCCTTCATCCTGGGAGTGTAACGACACTTGGAAAAGCATCACTGATAGGCCGTGCAGCCCGTGTAGCACAGGTGCCCTGGGCCGGAGTCCATGTGGAGGCCGGCAGAGACCATGCTATTCAGGACTCACTTGGAGCCTGGGCTGATCCTCTCAAAGTCTCCCCCTGCCCCTGTCCAGTGCGAAAGGTGTTGTAGGTTGTCCTCGGAGATCTTGAGAGTGACTTGTGGTGGGCTTGGTCCCTGTGGTCGGGCTAACACCTACCCAGGAGGGGTTGGGGGCATGAGAATCTGCAGGACAATAGCCGTGCCCTCGAACGGTGAAGTTGTGATACCAGCCTCGATGCTACCCCTCTGCATATGAGAGCTGGGCACTTGCAGCTGGTGTTTTGTCACATCCCTGGGATGAAAATCCCAGTAACAAGCACATCACTTTCACATCGGAAATCACTGTCTGTGTTGTCTTTGTCCTCACAGAGAATACCCAGGAAAGACGGAATGGTTTTGTTTGCGATGTTGTCCCAGAACAGTTGCTGCAGCCACAACTGTGACTCTTCCACCTCCCAAGGAGACTTTGGAAAATGCTAAATTCAGTGTGGGGAGTGGTTTGAGGCAGAGAAAAGGGCAACACTACAGGTGAAGGAACTGTAAGTCACACAAGTGGTCTCTGAAGTGGGTAATTTAGTTTCTCAGTTCGATCCTGGCTCTCAGTTCAATCTCTGGCCAGCGAGACTCTGTAAATGTTAGCTCCTTGCCCTGCTTCTGGAGTGAACCAACTTGCTTAACACCTCACGACTTCTATTTCAGCTGTGCCAGCTCTGTAAGTCACGCAGGTGACCAGCTAAGCCATCTAGGTGACCTCGTAGTGTGTCACATGCTCCTGTCTACACCAGATGAGCTGAGCTTAAGCTGGTGCTGGTCCTGAGCAAGGGCTGAAGAAGTGCCAAAGCCGTGTTGTCCGAAATGAGCCCCTTTGCAGGGCCATGGGCTCTGTCTCCATAAAGGAAAAGCAGTCCACAGCTCCCAAATGGGGTTGCTCAGTTGCAGGAGAGCGCTTGTGAAAGCAGCTCACGAGGACAGTTTGTGTGACACCTTTGCTCCTGCTGCAAGCAATAGGGTGGGAATTAGCTGAGAGGCAGCTGGAGAGGGTGAAGAAATTTTGCTTTCTACTTGGTCACAAAGACCTTGCAGCCCCACTTGTCTGTGCAGCTGAGCAGGGAGTGTGGGGAGGCTCAGGTGTTATGCCATTATAACCATCAAACTCTTGTTACCCAATGGCAGATTAGAGCCTTTTTTGTTTTATGTGCTCTAGGCACAATATCAAAAGGTCTGGCCACCTTCTAAAGAGCTTACAATTTAAACCATGGGGATAAAATATTAAAGGACTAGCAGAGAGCATCAGAATCAAGCAATAACACGAGGTGAGTGAAGGAGCCGTGCAAGCAGTTGATGCACGTGATGGCTGCTGATGGGCCTGAACTTTTCTTTAATCCCACCGGCCTTGGGTGTGTAGCCAAGCCTTAGGAAATTTTTTTTTATCAATCTGTTCTTGCAAGGGGATTTTTATGAAACCAGTACTGTGGGCTGAGATCTTTGTCACAGCAACTGTCATGGCACAAGGAGGCATATAATTAACCCACATTTTGTATCCCTTGAAGAGCTGACAATTGTCGGATTTGAAGCTGCAATATTATGGAATGATGTCACGTATGCTTAAAAATAAGAACACTTCACTCTCTGGGATGAGGAAGTAAAGTGATAAAAAGGGAAGGACTGAGAGGCACAGAAGCTTCAACATCTTTTTCTCTTTTTAGTGAGGTACCAGCAAAGCAAGATAAAGTGCTTCTATCCACTTTCTATATATCAGTTTTTTCAGAGACCACGTAGCCTTGTAAATCAGAAGTGAAATGTTAACAGCCAGTGTGCTGCTGGTATCTTTTGTGGTGTTTCTGCTGGTTCTGCAGTTCCTGAAATTGCAATGGATCCGAAGACGACTTCCTCCTGGCCCAACTCCGTACCCCTTGTTTGGAAATCTGCTGCAGATGAACTTCCAAATTCACCATGAGATCCTTAAAAAAGTATGTATTTTCAGTTAACGAATTAATGGAGTTATAAACTGATTGAAAAGTAAATGTGAGTGTTTAACATAGTTGTACTCTGAATGCTGGGGAGGGATTTAGTCTAAATTGTATAAATGTAAAAATAGGTGGGATTGTTAAAATATCAGTTTCTTGGTAGGAAAACTTCAAGCTTACTATGAAACGTGATTAAAATCTTACGTGCATATGAATGAAACAATACTGATGGTAATATTCCTGTCTTTCACATAGGAAAAAGATACATTTTAAACCAGAGACTTTAATTCTGTGCAGCGTTTTGCACGTCTGTGTGTTGACTGTTGTTGCACTGGCAGTTTTGAAATATTTCATGAAATAGCTACTGAGTGAATGTGTGTTTCCAGCATAGGAAGAATGAATTTTTTAATACTTATTCAACAGATTTTTCAAAAGATCTTAAAATTAATTTTTTTTTCTGATATACAACTTGGACAGATTTTTCACAAGCGACTTCAGTCTGCTGAGCCTGACTGAGGTCTTGAGTAGCTGAACTAACTCATTGTGTGCCTATGCTCAGTCTCTTTTCTAAGTCCAGTTGTAACGCACAGCACCTCTAGAATTTGTATCCTAGAGCTTTATATTCCTCATACGTGAATATTAAATATTTAACATTTAAAAATGTAAGTAACAGCACCTCACTTTCACTTTTTGCTCTCAACCTTCCTTTTCCCTGGTCCTTCTCTGGCCCACCAGTTCTCTTCTCCTGAGCAGTATTTTTTAAGGCAAAGTAGTATGACTCCACAACATAAAATTACAGCCAGTGCCTGCCTCTTGTGTTTTCTTCAACCTCCCAACCCTGGAGAGCAGCATTGCTCTTCAGCAATACTGAAATCCCAGGATTTCAAATGCCATGAGTTAGTCCTTCAAAAAATTAAATTAAACACAAACGTGCAAGCACATGTGAATAAATTTTTTTCTCAGCGTGCACATCTGTCCCTCTTGTTTGCTCTCAGGTGGCAAAATTTTGCACTGCTCTAGTCCTGCTGTTCTGGGGGATGTTTTGGCAGCTCCTCACTCTTCCCAGCCTACTCTGCCCCACAGACTTGCTACTTTAATCTACGCACTGTTGCGCTTCCCTCAGCCTTTTACTTTTCCAGCTCCTGATTGTCCAGCCAGGGAAAGGAATGTTCTGCCTGCTTTTAGTGATGTCTGTGCACGGCATCATGAAGACAAGGCTGTCACAGCTCAGCTGGAAAGGAGAGGGTGATCTGGCCTCACCCACCTCCTCAGCTGCTTTTGCTGCACTTGGTACACGAAGGGGAATCTAGAGATGGTTCATGTAAAACTCATGAGCTACTGTTTTCTTCTTAAAAACTTGAATTGTAAGACGTGCAATAAATAACATCACAGACATTGGCAATATTGGCTGTCTGACGTTTTGGGAGCATCCTGATCCTTAGTAAATGAGGCTTTAGATAGAAACCTGACTTGAAGCCGTATTATATGTAAGAGTAGATTCGATGCTCTCTTCTCAAGGTCAGTCATTCCTGGGGCATCTGCTAAGGGAAAAAATCCTGTTCATCTTGGTTGATTTAAATGTACTGGTTCTTACCCATATTGTTCTGATGCTGCTTTTTTCTACAGATGGCCAAAACTCACGGTAATGTCTTCACTTTATGGTTTTTAAACACGCCCATGGTTGTCCTGCAAGGGTTTCACGCAGTAAAAGAAGGTCTGACTGTCCATGCTGAAGATGTTGCTGGAAGGCCATTAATCAAGTCCTTTCACATTTTGACTCAGGGAAATGGTAATTATTATTTTCACAACTCATGTGCTCCAACCCTGGTTTTGGGTCTTGCAGTCCTTAATTTACAGTGGGGGAAAAAAGGTTAATATTTTCGTCAGTTTTTATGATTTTTTTTTATTATTATTCTGTTGGAACAATAATGACAGAATAGATTTTTTTTTTATTCTGTTGGAACAATAATGACAGAATAGAGCTATTTTTAGAATTTCTATAAAAGAAATAGATGGCTAAACTAGAAGAAGAAGGAGAGGAAAGAGGAAGGCTGCCAGACTGAAGAATTTCTATACAAGAAATAGGTGGCTGAACTAGAAGAAGAAGAAAAAGGAGAGGAAAGAGGAAGGCTGCCAGACTGATGGCAAAAATTTGAAAAAATTAGAATGAAAGAGAAGATTCTTTGGTTTATCAACTGCATCGATTCATTGATTTATAAAGCATTATTAGCATTTGTTCATTATGATCCTAGGTGTTATGTTCTCTAATGGTCGTCTCTGGAAGCAACAGAGGCGGTTTGGGCTTGCGACACTGAGGAAAATGGGAGTAGGGAAAAAAGACCAGGAGTATCGACTGCAAGAGGAGGCCGGTCACCTGGTGGAATACCTAAAGAAAACAAACGGTATGTGGCTCGGGATGGTGGTCAGGCTATGCAATGGGTCATTTTGCCAAAGAATTGTTCATTTGTTGGTTTTGAAACTATTTGACTACAAAACCAGATTTAAAGTCTACATGCAGAGCTGAGCCTTAGAAGTCTGTATCATGATCTGCATGAGATGTTTCCTTGCACAAGTGCTACACGTGAACCCCCCCAGAATGAATTTAGAACTGAGACCTCATGGTCCCTGTCCATTAGTGCCATTACTTGGCCAGTTTTACATTACTCACGGTTGCAGGATCAGAGTAACAGCAAACAGTGACAAAATGAGTGTCACAACAGCCCATATCCCGCTGCAGAAAAGAAAAAGGAGGCACAAAAAGCTTTGACTAAAGCTACGCAACCCTATGGGTCTGCTCTGGTGCAGTGGAAAAAGCTCACCTCGCACGGCTTATGGTCACCACCCCAGTAAGAGAGGAAGTTTGGTCAGATTTTGCTGTTGAATAATGGGGTGAATCTTATAGATATGCTCAATTATTCTGTTATTCAGCAGCCAAGGATATCAGCAAAGAACAGAAGGTGGTTCTCTTTTCAATTCATTTGCTTATTCATACAATGTCTCAGCTGAACTTTTTTGTACCCTGGTTATTGCCAAACATGAGACCTACTGATGCCAAGGTTTTGTGAAATCTGGGTATTTTTCTTGCTCTTACTAATTCCATTCCCACCAGCAGTCTTTTTTTTAACCAACAGTGTTTTTTAGATGGCTGAAGCTACTTTTTACTCATGTCTTTTGCCAATAAATTGCAATTTGCTATCCAGCAATCTAATTAACATCAGAAGTGCTTATAAAATGGTATCAGTTCTCCTTTCAGTGGGAAAAGCAGGAGCAGTAAGTGTTAATGGTGAATGCTGTTCACTGTGTTTACAGGAAAACCTCTGGACCCCACTATGCCCGTTGTTCACACTGTCTCAAATGTGATTTGTTCTGTGATTTTTGGACATCGCTTCTCTAAAGACGACGAAAATTTTCACCGCTTGATTGAATCCATTGATACTATAACAGCATTTGGGAACAGCATCTCTTTTTTTGTGAGGAAAATTATTGTGTTTGTTTATGTTATATAGATAGACAATGAAAAAGGCAACTTGCTTGTTACTTTTATAACAAAAATAAATACCAGTGCACCTGGACTTGCTGGAGTACGCATCAGAACAGTACTTCCAGGTGCCTAGTTCAGACCTTGCTTCAATTGCTTATGTTTCTAAGCAGGGTAAACACTGGATCAGATATTTCCAAACTGTTCTCACTAGGTATTGGTATAAGCTGTTCTTAAAAACTCTTAATAGCGTGTCCACAGCTAACAAAAACACTCTAGTCCAATATTTCATTCTGTCCTGCTCTCCACAGTGCTTTCATAGTGATGTAAAATCCTTTAATGATGGTCTGTACTAATCTGTTTTCCTGGTAAGTAGACAGGTAGCTTTAAGCAAAATGATGCAGGATGAAGAAGAAGAAATACAAGCCAGGAATATAAATAGGTTTGTGGAAAGATAAATCTTTGTAATGCAGCTGCCATTTAAATAGGTGAGCCCAAGAGTTGTGACCTAATGCATAATTTAAGCTGCAGTAATTCTGTGAAATGGAAGGTCGTGGTGCCATCTGTAAAGGGGAAAAAAGAAAGGGAAATGAAGTAGAGGAATGGAATGAATGTAAAAGCAGTTTTGTTTCTTGTTTGCTGAGATGTTGTTTTATAATGGTAGAAGTGCAAGAATGTGGATAGGTTTAAAACAATGACTAAACAGTAGGGAGCCCACACGGCTCAGTATTTCCTTCATCATCTAGTTGTTTTGCATATTGCACAGATGTGACATATTTGTTTCTTATCTTTGAGAAGGTCTATCCGAGTAGAATCCCCATGCATTTGGCACCCTACAGTAAGAAAATAAACCTGTGTTTGGATATTTACTTTTTCAGTTAGCAGGTGTGTCAAGGAAGTCAGCCTAGGTCTGGTTTTTTTAGTGTTGAGATAGAAATGAGACATGATACATATGTTGGGTAAAATGAGAACAGGGACAGGTTTTATATGAGGTCCTTGCTGCTGAAGTTCAGTCTAGCAAATAATTGGGGTACAGAAGAACTTAATTTATTCTTTGTACATCACAGTGGAAAATTTATAGCATAAACCCAAGAGGAATTGTGCTCCAGGGAAAAATTGAATTAAGAAAGGCTTTAATGAATCATGGGATAGGCAATATCCCTTCAGTGTAATGGTGAAGATGCAATCATCAGGGTCTTTCGTTTGCTTTTTCCACTACCCAAAAGCCTGTGTTAGGATTCAAATTTAGTTTGCTAATATCAGTAACAACGCATATCTAAAATATCTCTTTTATAGATATATGAAATGGTTCCCTGGCTTGCAAGGCGTCTCCTAGCACCATGTAGAGATACTGTATCCAGCATAGATTTTGTGAATAATCTATTGGCAAAGGAACTTGAAAGCCATAAAGGAAAACGAAAATCAGATGAAAATCAAGATTTTATTGATTACTATTTGGATGAGATAGATAAAGTGAGTATCTCTGAATTCTTCTTATGGTCCACTAACAGGGGATTTTAGATGCTCCTTTGATTATAATGACATCTAATAGAGATTTAGATGTATATGATTTCTCCATAGAAAAGCTTATAGGTAGATGAATTAAAAAAAGCTGACACTAAGAGATGGCAGGAGGAGGACAAAGTAATAATGTAAGTAGATTTTATGGGTAGATTATCTAAACCCACAATAATAGTAGATTTGCATATGGTTAAGGTACAGCTAAAAATGATTGTTGTGAAGGGATTTGCAGCAGGAGTAAAAAGCATGTACAATTAATAACTTTGTCATAGTTGAAGACCAAAATGTCTATGTGGTTAGGATAAATTGGAAAATATAGTGTAGAATATTAGAAAATATCTTCTTACTACTCAGTTTTATTTTCTAGCCCCATAATATTATATATTTTTTTTTCATCTTGGATAGTATCAATAAATATTTCTGTGGTGCAAGGTGGTTTACTTCTTTTTTGTGTGCCATAACTTATCTTTCCAATTCATATCTGCAGACCAAAGGAGATGCTGATGCTACTTATGATGAAGAAAACTTGATCCAGACTATTTTTGACCTCTTTCTGGCAGGTACAGAAACTACAGCCACTACTTTACGTTGGGCATTGCTCTATATGGTGATTTATCCTGATATTCAAGGTAAGAACACCCAAACAGTTCTGCAACTTTTTCAAATGGCAGTAGAGCTTATTCAAAGATGAGTAGGGGAACTAATTATTAGGGTATGAATCAGGCCAACAGTGTGTCTCTGTTTCTTGCTGTTTCCTTTCTAACATACAGGCCAGTCATTTTAGGGTTTGTTTTTAAGACATCTACTGGATGCAGGGTGTGATTCATCTGACCAGAAGTCTAGTCTCAGATGAGAGAAATTGCACCATTGCCTCTCCACTGACAATGATGATTAGACTTGATCTGAGGACAAGGCGGAATCTTCAGGTCATCCTTTTCAACCCATGACTGCTACTCTTTGGTGTCCTCCTGGTTTCTTTACAGCAGAAGTACTTTCAGTACAGTGGGAGGTTGCTAATGTATGTATTGCTTCCATGAAGCTTAGAACTTCAAACATAGATATCTACATATACATAGATAGAAAAAAAAGATTGGAGTGAGTAGCTTGAAACTGTATGCTTTTGATAATGATATTCACAGAAGAAAGATATAGGTTGGCAGAGCAAAATAAGTGAAAAGGAAGAGTCAGAGCATACAGCTTAGAAAGGATTAAACGCTACACAGATCAACTCTAAGTCCTCATATTTGAGAATTTAAGCTGGCTACCAGGCACAGCAGGAGTCTGGCAAGAAGAAGATGGTGGAAGTGGTAAGGAGAAAGGGTTTCCCATTGTTGGTACCTAACAGAGCTTCAAAAGACCTAAAATTTGAGACTGGGTAATGAATTTTTGCAACCTGATCTTTCACCCTCTCAGGTTATATTAAAACAGTCTTAACTTTTCCAATGCATAGGGTCAATCTAAGTGCAATGATAAAAGCTGTAGTATTAGTCACACAATTTCTGCTCAGAAATTCATTAGAAATTACCATTTCAGATCAGATTGTAAGAAAAGAAAAAAAAAAAAAAAACGAAAAAAAAAAAAAAGACCTTGAGAAAAACTAATTTGTGTAAGTGCTTCCCAAGTCAGGTAATTGCACAGTAGCATTTGTCCATCCATTGATGACAAAAAAAAATCTATTTTGTTCTGAATGGAGAACAATCCGTGATCAGTTATTAAACTGGTCTCCTAATACATGATTGATATTTCATTTTCCAGTTGATTCCCTGCCTGTAAAAATAAATATTAATTAAAGTCTTTTCATAAATTACCTTAGAGTAGTAACATAACAGGAACCTCAATATTCTCTACAGAATATAGACTTTGTCTGCTACCTTTATTTTTAAAATTTTACTTGGCTGTGTAACCTACGAACATCTCCAGTGTCAAATTTTATTCAGGTCATCTGTATGGGAATTCAAAAGCATTCTTATTTTATAAAATATCTTTTTCATCTTGTTGGATGTTAATCGTACTGTAAGGAGCAACAGGAAAAATTACGAGGAAAAAGTTTATAGATTGATTGTTGTATATTTAAAGCTGAATATTCCTCCTTAGCGAAAGTCCAGAAGGAGCTGGATGCTGTTCTCGGTTGTTCCCATCCAATTTGCTACGAAGACAGAAAAAAGTTGCCATATACAAATGCTGTAGTTCATGAGATCCAGCGATACAGTAATATAGTCTTAATTGCACTTCCCAGACAGAGCATGAAGGACACAGAGCTGCTGGGATTTCCCGTTCCAAAGGTACAAATATGCTGCATATTTGAATATCTGATGTCTGATACACTTGTAACAGTTTTAAAAACTGATTTAGTGTAACTTTTTAATGACTGAAGCCACCTCTACTAGTGGTTCCCAAAACACTGTCCTTTTTTTAGTTTCCTTTGCTTTAATAGCTCATTTAGTTGAAATACAACAGTGATTGAGGACTGTTGATATCAGTAGGTCTTTGGTACATTAGATGCACATAGAAAGGTTTCTGAGGCTTTTCCTGACTGGGGACACGAACTCTTGTGTCCTGTTGGTTCCGGCAGTGCCCCTAACCTATGGCTGTCTCTAAGGCTGGCCTTTTGCAAGGAAATTTGTGCTTTGTCTCAAGTATTAGTAGGTTCTTATGTCATCACTTCTGTCAACAGAAAATTTGTGGTGGTGACTGGAAATAAACATCTTAATTTCCAGCAGTCTCAGGTCTGTCCCTTTTCAAAATGGCTTGTCAGCTGGTGAACAGAGGCTATCCAAAAATGGAAAACAGGTTTACTGAAAAATTTCAAATTGTTTTCATATCACAAGCTTTTAAGTGCAGTATCTTATAAATGTTATAATGAAACTAAAGTATCTTCAAGTTTTGTAACTGAAAGGTACACTAGGGCTTGTTTCTAAATATTCTCCTGTCACTGCTTTTTGTGTAGTCTCATTTTCATTCCTGTTTTCTGGATCTGCTCAAAGCAACCCTAGAGTTGCAGAAATTATCGAGTAACAAAGGCAAAAATTAAACTGATACTCATTATATTCTGTAACTCAAAAGCTGAGTAAGTAATAAAAATAGTTGGTGATAATATGAGAAATAAAAGCAACATATTTCAACAATATAAACATAAAATGCTAACAATTTATGTTATGGAGCTTATTGGCAGCAAGTAATAAATGAAAGTTGCAACATTAATAAAAGTTTCAACTTCTTATGAAATGTTTCGGAGTTTGATCCTGTTTAAAAAAATGAGACTTTAAATTAGGACTTCAAATATTTTGCTCCTTCGTCATTATTTGCTTACCTGATGAATATGGACTATAAGACAGAACTGAAGCTGCTGCTTCTTTTTTCAGAACACCATAATCTTAGCAAATATTGACTCTGTTCTGACTGATCCTGGGAAATGGGAGACTCCTGACCAGTTCAACCCAGGCCACTTTCTGGATAAAGATGGAAACTTTGTAAACAGAGAAGCATTCTTACCATTTTCAATAGGTACGTACACTGAACAGGGATTTACTTACTCCATGTGATAACAACTTACGATGCATTCATTCCCCAACATAACTTGGAAGGCATCTACAAAGAGATATGCAAACACATTCCACTGTTTTAAATATTTCCAGGAACAGAGAAGTCCAATTGTAATGTGGAAAAGATTGGAAGAGAAGGAATGACACCCAGAAAAGTTTCTCTTAGAGAAGAGATCCCGTTATGAAAATAGTAGCAGCAAATGCACAGTGCTAGGAAGACTGTTAATGTAAACTGTGCAGCTCTTGTGGTCATTTCTACAATGCTTTCCTGCCTGTTGTAATTATATATTAAAACTTTTGGTGGAAATACAAGCAGCCCTTCTGTTCTGAATCATTAAATGACAAAGTCAGTTAAGAGAAAAGGACAAAGTCTGCAGAAAACGAGCAAACAAAAAACCCAAACAGGTTAGGCAGGGAGGTGTGATAGAAATCCTCTGACTGATGGCCTCTTCTGTCTTTCTGCAGGGCACCGTGTGTGTATGGGGGAGCTGTTGGCAAGGATGGAGCTCTTCATTGTCTTTGCCACCCTGTTACGAGCATTCACCTTCACCCTGCCAGAAGGAGTGAAAGAAGTCAGTACAAAGCTTGTTTTTGGGAGCACAATGAAGCCACCTCCCTATGAGCTCTGTGCCATTCCTCGGTAGGAAATGGTGCCCCACAGATTCAGGGAAGACTTACTCTGCAAGGTTGTTTCTGCCTGTGAATTCTTTCTTGCATATCTTAAGATTTTTGCTTTCCTCTTGATTTGGTTAATCACTTCCCTGAATGATGCTTTTCAGACAGTTGCATCCTGAGGATTGTATCTACAAAGAGTTAATCTTTCCTTCTTGTTTTATGTTTGGAAAAATCTTGGTGAATTTCTCCTGATGTGTAACAAATAAAGACATTAAGGGAAGAAATAGAATTGGGCCTTACTTATTGCTAACTGGAAAGAGGATTTACAGAGAAAGAACTTGAAACCAAGTCTGTAAATTAGAAGTCTCATGATTGAAGATCCGTGCATTCTTTCTCATAAGCCACAGTTGCATTTGTGGAGACAGGCTTAGAGGTCTTTCAGCCTGTCCCAGGATATTAGTGGGGGCAGGAGTTAAGAGAAGCTCTTGGGAGAAGCTTTCTAAAGGGACAGATAATACGATCTGAGATAACACTCCCTTAGACTGATCGGGTTTGTCATTGTGCAAGCTTGTTGTATACAACTCTGTCATGGACACCTGGCAAGATAGTTCAGGGTTTCATGTACTAAACCAGATAATATTTCAGCCCTTCAGGTGAAAATAGAGGAGTGGCTTCATCAGCCAGGTGTGGGGAGCTTTTCATAATACAGGCAAGGAGCAAGGACTGGAAAACAAATGACAACAGGCAGCAGACACACTGTTCTTTTTTTATGAGCCCACTGGCTGACAGCAGGATGAGAACAGGGCTTTTTCATGACACACAGTCTTCTGGTGTTGTTTGCTCCAGATCCTCCAATAATTTATTTAGCTTCATTCATTCTTTCAGTTCTTTAATGGATTCTTTATCACAATTAGCTGACTTCACATCAGTCAGCATAAATTAGCCTACCACGACCAACAGAAGATTTGGCACTATTGAAGAAATCTTGAAGCCCATGGTGCTTAAGGACTTGCAAAAGTGGATATTTAACATTTTGCTAATTTGGTTACTGACTGTTAACAAGGCATTTTTTTATTTTTGGACGGCACTGGGAGCATGTTTTTCCTGTATGACATACAAAGTGGATACTGTGTGCCAGAAGATGAAGGTTTATTTTTATACACAGATTAACTGACAGTGCCCTCTGTGGGAATTAAGCCATTATCAGCTGTATTTGTTTCTACTTAAAGCACCCCAGTCTAACAGGCAGAGATGTGTAAAATCAGCAATTTCACACGCAGTGAAACCTGGATTGCCAGTTTCTTCCAGTGCAGGATTACCTTTATGGGATGGTTCAACCCTGTTCATTTCTGTGGGCTGGATGGCAGCGTCTCTAGAGAGGTAGGTGACTGCTGTGATGTCCCCTCCATGCTGGAGATGTCAACATCCCCCTGGCAGTAGCCCCACACTGGCAAGGGGATGCTTCATGTGGATATGAGGATAGCAGGAGGAGAGGCAATCACAGCAGCAGTTCCTTGCCTTTAGCACAAAGTTAAAAATTACTAATGCTAAAGAATAACTGGTAGATAGCACCGAAGAAATGCTGCTGCTGGCTCCATTTAGTAATAGTGACGAAAATGGAGCCTAGACAATCTCATAAATACATTTTCTATAAAATAAAGTAAGATGAATCCCATGCCTCAGATCTAAAACAACCCACAGTCATCTTCCTTCCAGTGTGAGAGAACCGTATTCCAGGCCAGCTCCAGCTGCACCACTGGTTAAAATGTCTGCTGAGCAAAAAACCAAGTAAGGTTTGAAGCTATCAAATGTCAACAAATGAGTCTCTTTTTCCCACCTGTGCAACACCCTAGTTCCTTCCAGAGCCTCCTGCTCCTCGTCTTCCCCCGCCTCTCTGAAGTTTTCCATCATCTTTACAGTCTGTACCATCTTTCCAACATACCCAATTTTCTCATTTATCCTATTTTTTCGGTTCTTCATTTCTGTTCTTGAGCCAAGGCTGTCCCTTGACTATTCTTCCACCAGATGTCATTCAGTTTCACAAGTTAGTAGAAAGAATATGGGCACCTCCACTGTTCTAGAACAGCCCCTAGATAAATTATTAGGGGTCATTTGAGAATTAATGAGATTTTCTTTTCAGATTCTTTTTGATATGCCTTGGATGTTTGAGCCTTAAGGATCTAAGTAGATTACAAAACATTCCTAGATAAACTGGAATGTAATCCTGCAGTGTCACCTAATATGAGATAGAAATATATCTGCATACTCTTACGCTGTAGTAATCTGTGGTAAGTGTCTGCTCGTACTTTCTAGGGAAACTACACATGGCAGATTAAATGCAAACATTTCAGAGCATGAAATTCAGCTTTGAACGTGCTTGCTGCGCAAGCCATAAGTAGTAGCTCCAAAGGAATCTCTGTTCCCCTTTTAGAAAGAAGAGGAGAGGGTGAAATGTCTCCTTAGGGAGGAGTGTTTGAAATGCCACTATTCTGGTTCTCTTCGTCCCTTTTCTAGGGCTAAGAGACAAATCCAGGAAAGAAAGAATCTAAACTACAATCTTGGTTTCCCCAGGGAAAGCCTTTCAGTGCCACTTCCCTCATGTTCTCTGCTGCCTGTTAAAGGAGGGAGTAGAGAACTGAACTTACTACAAAAATCATGTTGTCTTCGTCTTTCTGCCTTCAGGACCCAATGCTACTTGTACAAGAGCACAGAGGGACTAACAGCTTAAGGTGACTACACCCTTCACTTTTCCTGTAAGTAATGTGAGTTTCTGGGAGGGGATTCAGTCCCCACCAAGCAAAAAAACGGCGCAGGACTGGTCTGGATCAGATATATAAGAAGGATTGGCTGTCCCATTCCTCACAGATCACTCTACTCTTCTTTCCTTGCTTCTATCTCATCTTCAAAATCCACTTCAGGTGTTTTCTTACTTGGTCTGCCTGCCTGCTTTCAATTTTTTGCTCCCAGTTTGACTGCATTTGGCTTCACTCTTTGCCAAAAAGGCTCATGTGAAATGAGCTTTCAGAGGACTGTGTGCACTTTGTGTATATGCTGTAGTCAATCCAGGTAGGGCTGAAGTACCTTGTGATAATTCCCAAACACATACGAAGTTGGCTTATTATAATAATAAGATCAGTTTACTATTTGCCTTCAGAGGGAGCTTTAGCCAGTTGTGTTGAACTTAGTAGAGAGCTCAGCTCTGAACTGATGCACAAAAAGATTCTTAAGGAATGAAGAGCATGTCTTTACCCTTTCCTGTCTCCTAATGTAGCTGATTGCTGGTTCAGACCCTTTCTGTTTAATGTGCTTTTTTACACTTGTGTTTTCAACTCCCCTGCACATTCCTCCATTCATTTTTTTCCTTATACAGTGTCCTTCATCTCTGAGTTTTTATTTTGGTATCTTCTAGGCTTGTGCTGTATACTGTTCCTTCTTATGCTTTCCTCACTGAAATCTCTCCACCTGTTCTCAACTCACCTCACTCCCATCTGTTGTAACGCATATTTGGCAGATATTCCTCGGTCTAGTGTCTTCTACCTTCTTTCTGATTCTCTCTTGTATCCTCTTTCTGTTTTTGTTCCCTTTCCTACACTATGCAGTTTTTTTGTCTTTCCCTAGTCTTTAAATTCTAGTTTCTTAAATAACATGCAGAGTAGACAGTTATGTTCCCTAACACCATTGCTTTGTATACATTAAGATAAAAAGCTGATAATGACAGTATGGATTGCAGCCACTTCACCTCCACAAGGAGAAGATACAAGGGAATAAAGTCATGGTGTAAGAAAGCAGCCCGAGGCTGTCACTAACAGCAGGAAGAAAACACCATTTTGAAAAAGGAGTAGTTGTCAGACCAAATAGGTAAGTGCTGCTTCTCCCCTCCTCTCTCTGGTAGGTCATTGCTAACAGCCTCATCAACTACACTCATTTTGTTGTGAAAACGTATTTAGTTTTGGAGATTGTAATCGGCATCAGAGTATCACATATTCTGCACATGAAACAAAAATTACTCAATGCTTGTTCCTTGGTTGAATGTTGATCCGTGCTCCCAGGATCATCCACATCCCTGGCGTTAGACCGAGTCCTTGCAGCTGCTGCTTAATCATTTAGGAAACCTGTGGTGTCAGGAGGGTCTTAGCTGCGTTCTGCAATGTTTGGAGTCTGCTAAAAGGCTTGAAAAAGTTTACTACTTAAAAATCATCACTGGGGATGAGCTATTGTGTTTAATACTCATGGTCCAAAGAGCTGTGCCATCCTAGAGAAATATCTGGGAAAAATTAAGCAGACACCAATATTTCAGAGTTTCACACTTGAAAATCTGGCTGAAACAAAGATAGCTCTAGAGAAACTGGAGATCTAAGATGGATATTGGAATTTTAACTGAATCTTTGTTGCCTGCGATAGAAATACAATGTTTAAACATATATATATATATTCTATTTAACCTCTAGATTGTTACCTGGTGAAGAGAAAGGTGGGAATTTAATGTGGTTCTTCAGGAAGAGTGTAGTGATGCTGGTAAAGAGGAGATACAGAGAAAGTCCATCTGAGTTCAGGGACAAATCTGGTCTTTGACCAGTGGAAGGACGAAGGCAGGGGGACAGCTGATGCGATGCCACTGGCCACCTCATGCTGTGGTAGGAAAGCCATTTTAGGAGCCGGCCAGCCTGGAGAGGAGGCTGTGGCTGCCATCTTGAGTGGGCAGCAGGGAGGCAGCTGGGATCTTGCAGGCAAATATTGCAAAAAGATCTGGGGAAAAAAGCATCTGGACTGGTGCCTGGAGACAACCTGAGGGGAAGGCAGGCTGCTGGCTCACAGGGGAATGGTTTATGCAACTGTGTCTCACAGCCCTTTGGAGGGAACCACACACCTCCTTGCAGAGCAGTTTCTCACAGCGGCCACCTCACACGGGATGGAGGAGGGCTGGTGCCTGGGGGTGCCCCCTCATGCCCACTCCCTTCGCTAGCACGGTGGTGACTGCACGTGCTGATTTGCTCTCTGTGTGGCTCCATTTCCTGCCCTTTTCATTTTT